AACCGCTGGGTCAAAACAATGGGTCAAATGGGTCAAAACAACCCAATAGCTGGGTTTGTCCCTTTTTAACCCAGCATTTTTTAGAGTGTGTATATATATGTATATATATATATAACATAGAATCTGATGTTGAATTTTTAAGATGTATTAAATTAAGTGTAAATTAATCAAACAAATCACCAAGTATGATGCAAGGATAAAGGTTCATGAATAGCATAATGCAAGGATTGATGATTATTTTAGGATATGACAGTTTAATCCTAAATAGTCTGATGCTGATCAAAATGAATTATTACCCAACCTGGAGAACTTTCTTGAGGTTTACTCCTGCTCAGCATCCAACAAATGACCAACTGTCCTCATATTATGCCTGAATTTTATAAATACAGGTCCATAGAGAGTCTTCTAGTTTGATATTGGGTGGAGGAGCTCTTTAAGAGGAGATCTTTGAGATGACATACTGAGAATGATAAAAGATCAACAACACGTGTTCTGGATTGAGCAGTTCTGCTGTATATAGTCAACCTGCAATGAGGTGAGGGCGTCAGATTCTGAAGTAGGCATGTGAAACATAAAAGCTCCCAAATAAAAGAGTGCACGGGTGGAAAGCCAGAGACTGAAAATTCAAAATGGTCCCATTTGAGCCTGTGAATGTAGTGTCCGCTAATGGCCTGTTTATGGTTGATTTTGTATGTTCTGAAGTCTGGTAATGACATTTAGACCATTAGATGCACTTAGAGACACTAAATGACTGATAATAATAAATTCAAGTCTGTTTAGTATTGCTGACAGCTGATTTTATTCATGAAAAGTCATGTTCTCGACATATACACACTTCATTCTACTGTAAAACATTCATATTATCTCCACATTGTCACTGTTTTAGTGCAACATAATTAATTCCAGAAAAGCTTGATTTAGTTTCACATTAAAGGGTTGCTCGGCATGACTGAAAGAGTAGTGAACACACACACACAAAAATGAAATAATATAAAACCTCACAACAACATTTTGAGTCTGAATTTGTTCCTCTTTATATTGCGATTCCATTTCTTCTCAGTTTTAGTTCTCACACCATAACATATTTGAAACTAGAAGCTTGATCACATTTGAATAACCCAAGTTAAAACAAATAATAAACTAATTAGTTAAAAGAACAAACCCGATCTTAGCATTTACGCAAAGTGATGGAAAACAGAAGAGAGTTTGCACTGAACCTCATTGTAAGTACTGCAATAAACACTAAGAATACAGTTCTTTTTAATCAAGCCAATATTTGTGTGTGATAGAAGGTCAAAGGTGATCACATGCTGTCTGTGGTCAGATGAGGACACAACAGGACTCTGTAAAAACAATGAGGACATACTGTAGCATTCCCACACCTTTTGACCAATGGATTTCTGTGTCTGTTCCTGTTGTTTGTGATCACTGAATAAGGAACTGTAAAAATTATTTTATTGGAAACTGAGCTCACAAAGAGCAATTTCTAGGCAATTAAATATATTCAAGCCGAGTATAACTAATACGTTTCACATTCACTATAGAATAGTCCCAATTTATATTCTCTAGGTTGTCCATGACTGTGGGACCCTGATACTATTTTCATTTCTCTCACATTGCCTAGCAGCTTGTCAGTTTGTTTGTTGTATTGTGAATATGATTTATATGATTTTTTTTTTTTTGTGGATGTGAATCACTCAATTGTCCATTAGATAAATGAACAACTAAACAAAAACAAACAAACAAAAAAAGAATAAAAGAAGCACTGACTCTGTGACTCTATGTTCACCAAACAGGATGCAAACTGTTCAAAAATAAATCCAAATAATACAAACTATGCGAGTAATTTAACAGTGTCTCTAATCAAATCAAATCAAGATCAACACCTGTTCATAGTCTTCGAATCAAATCAAATTCATAACATTTTTAGACACAAATCAACATGTGCAAATGGAGATAAGTTGAAGAACCCTGATCAGTCATTAAAAATCTCAGATTTTAATATATTATATAAATAAATCTTAATATAGTTTATATATATTTTGTATTATTTAGATAAACAATATTATTTTTAATTGAGCAAAGATTATGATTTTATGGTCATGATTATGATAATCATGACCATAAAATGATTCTTATTCATGGGGAATAAATTAATCTTACAGCAAAAACTTTCAAATAACATACTTAAGATTCTCATAAACATTCAATGCAGCAGCCAACATGTTTTACAACATATTCTAGTCCCTTCAGAGAAAAAAAAATGCCACTTTTCGGAGACATTTCCGTTCCATCCATTGATCAATAGGTATTTTTCCAGGCACATCTTGAACCAGCTGATCTCTGCATGAGGACAATTAGCGCTAGAGTACAGAATTGAGTTCACTCTGCAATTTGGCCGTTATACCGTTCTCTTGCATTCAAAGGGACTGAGTTTTCTCCTAAAACCATACGCTATGAAGAGGAATTTGTACTGATGCATGCGTATGCTACACTGAAATCTGCAATATATAATACATTCCCGGTGTTAAACACAAAGACCGCAACATATCAAAAGTTGAGTTTGTTAGGTGTCAGGGAAAGCCAAACCATATGAGCTTCAATGCACTGGGAATTCTTGCAAAAAGTCACTCCCTAAAGCTGTGAGGCCTTTCAATATTACAATAAAATCAGTCCACTTTAGGTCAAAACACTTTAGTAAAAGACAAAAAGCCTCTTGTCTGACGGCACTAGAGTAAGAACTAGAGTGCTCAACATGATTTCAGTCAATAGTTTTCATATACACTGATAATCACTACAGTATAACAACTAGCAGTAATAAAAGTATTACTTATGCCATAAAAACTAGTTCAAAAAAAGATATACACCATTTTCCACAAATCTCAAGGCCCTGGTTCACAATTGGAAGACACCACAAAAAAATACACATTGACATGACATTTTTTGCGTCAAGTGATGGACTAGATCGCTGTCTTCTTGATCTTTGTATATGAAATACAGTCACTCTTCTCAACCACGATGGGTCCATCCAACCACAGGGGGATCCAATGCTAAAATTGGTTTGTCAAAAAGTCATAAGAAAAAAAGTGTTGGATGGGAGAGCTTAAAGTAAGGACATCGTCCTGGACAAAAACACAACTGCACTGTGCATGCTGGCTAACGGAGGTAAATGTGCTGAAATCCATTACGCTTTTAGACGAGAGGTTTTGTGTGTGTGTGTGTGTGTGTTTCTTGTCTCAGAACTGACCTCAGGTGTTGAGACCAAAAGATCCTGTGCTTGATATTCTAACACAAACCATATGTTAACCGGCTCCCTAAGGGCCCACCGAGGGCAGCTTAGAGGTGCTGGGATGTCCTGAGGCTGTGTCTCTCTCTGTCCTTATCCTGGAGAACCCTGGAGCCGTCTTCTCATCTCTCTGGAGGACATCCTGTGCTGGAGCTCACTGAGAGATGGGTGCTGCAGGGGTACCGGGTGTTGAGGGGGTAGTTGGGGTTTGTGGAGTGCTTTGGTAGGAACGTAGAAGGACTTTGTGCTTTGTTACCACCTCGGCCCTGACCTGCTGCTGCTGCTCCAGGAACTCCTTGAGGCGTGTGGTGGTAAATGTGAGAGTCTGTCTCCGCAGTCTCATTAGATAAGCGTCCTGCAGCCAGGAGTTGTTAAAGCAGTCCTTAATGGTAGGACGGGCCCTGAAACACATCGTGCACACAAGAATCAGTTAACATGTTACAGTTAACAAGACACATTGCCTGGCCCATACTGAAAGCTAGATGACTGAAATGTGAAAGGTGCCACAAACATCACACCAAACAGAATAATTATAATGGACAAATAATACATTTTAAAACAGAATTATAATCTAAAAATATAGTAAAAAAAATCATATTTATAAATTACCATAATTCTCAACGGTGAATTAAGGTATATATACATAATTATATACTTTATATACATTATATATACTTTATATTAATTAATTTAGAAAATACCATAATTCTCAATTGTCATTCTAATTAGAAATTACCTACTGTTATGAATTATTCACAAAAAAAAACTATTTTATAAAACTTTTTTTTATTATAGTCAGTATAAAAAGTACAACCAACACTTCTATGATGCATAAATACTTAAAATGCTTATACATATTTAAATAATATATATTATTATGCATTATTGTAATGAAAATGAAAATTCTGGCATATATATACACACAAAGTATATAAAATCTTAAAGTGATTTAAAAACCACCATAATTCTTAATCATGATTCTGATTAGATCCTCACTTGCAATTATAGATTATTTTTCACTTTTTTCAATAAAACTATGGTGGTATAATGTCTGTTTGAATTCAAATCAGTATAATAACACCACTACGATGCATGTATACATATATTCATAATATTAAAACATATTGCATGACCACAATTATCAAACTTGATTCTAATTAGATCCTCACTCACTGTTGTAAATAATTTTTCACTTTATTCAATAAAAACAGATATCAGTATAAAAAAGTATGACCAACTCTACTATGGCGTATAAATAATTTAAAATGTAAATAATATATATTTTTGTGAATTACTATAATGAAAATCAGATTTTTTTTATTATGCTCATTAGAAGAAAAAAAATGTTTCTAAAAAATAAAATAAAAAATATGTTCTCTTTAAAAAAAGGTTATTTTCACTATGTAAAATAAAATGCCTTCCTTTCAATTTTGGATGGAATGTGACCCAGACATGACAGGTGCCTTGACAGGTTTCTTGAGATTTACCCAGATGAATATTTTTTAAAGCACTATTTTTTTTAAACTCACCAAGGGTAGCTGCACAGGATCTTCTTGAGGAACAGAGAGGCACTTTGGGACACATTTTGGTAGAGCTTACTGAGGTCAAACTTGGCTGCCTGAATTCTGGCCTCTGTCTCAGCAGGGTCATTCTCAGTAAACGGCAGTCTCCCGCTGAGCCTGAATGGTGTACGGCATGACAAAAGCTTCGTGTTACTTACTAGAATAGAATTCATGTCAAACATAATCACAGGCACTGACAGCTCACAAGCTCCAGAGAGCTTCTGGAATGCCAAGACAAAACGCAAGAGACAAAACATAAATCGTAACAATACAAATACTCCCGCTGACATAAGATAGAAAAATGGACATTAAAAGTCAACATGAAATCAAAACAGACCCCATTTCCTTTCAAAGACAGAGCTGCAGTGGACAACACTCACATGATATAAGTCAATACGCCAACGCTCCAGATGTCAGCCGGTGGACCCACCACATCTCCTTTCAACATCTCAGGAGCTTTCAGTAATCAGCAGAGATTAAAACATATTAGGAAGTGTGAAGAAATGCACAATTACTTACAATAAATACATAATTAAAATATTAAATGAGAAGGAATAGGAATATAACAAAGAACTAAAATTCAATGTTTTACTTAAAAAGCTCTTGAGATTTTTTAGATTAGCAAGAAAATGTTCAAATATATGAAACAATATTTGAAAAATTGTCTTACACATGTAATCCAGTGTTCCAATGGGTGGGGAGAACTGCTTCAGGAACAGTGGATTGAAGGTGTGTGCACTACCAAAATCAATTATCTTAACCACATTCATGTAAGTTACAATGATATTGTCTGGTTTGATATCCAGATGCAGGATTCTCCGGCTGTGCAGGTAGTCTAGACCCTGAAGTATCTGTACAACATACGCCACCACGTCATCCTCGGAGTATCGGAACCTAGAAAGCGAGATAAAAGATAAGAACATCACAGCCAGAGGTATACATCATAAACTTCATGCTGGTGGAGAAACTTATAATAATATTTTTTTTTAAATCATGTTTAATTATTATTAATCTTTTTTTTTTAAATACTAAAGGGATAGTTCACCAAAAAATGAAAATTCTGTCACTCAAACAAAAGAAGATATTTTGAAAAAAAAACGTGGGTAACATGATCCCCACTGACTACTATGAATACTATGGAAGTCAATGGGGACCAGAAACTGTTTGGTTACCAATGTTCTTCAAAATATCTTCTTTAGTGTTCAGCAGAAGAAGAAAAAAACTCATACAAGTTTGGAACAACTTGAGAGCAGGGCCTGAATTTTGTTTTGGAAAAAGGGGGGAATTCCCCTTAGGTGACTATTTTTTTATGAGGGGATATTTTTAATTTGAGGGGGGAGTTGGGGTATTTTTTTAGACATATTTTTACATTGACAGTTTTTCAGGTAGGTCTAACAGTAATATTCAGGTACAGAAATACTACAGAAATTGTCCGCGGGCACTTCTGATGACGAAAAGTGCGCCATGTGGGCTGTCGCGGAATGCAGACGGGCAAAGTATACTTTGGGCTTTAGGCTGCTGTCTCTTTAAGACCTCATGCACAGATCTACTACACTGTTACACAACTGTTTACATATATACCGACCATGTTTAATAAAAAACGTCTGTGTTTACATGAATACTTGCCAAGACGGGCATTCTGACATAATTTTGCATTCAGTTGGCCTTTTTATGTGCAATAAGGCACAAAAAATTACTCAATTCTGTAGTCGCGCATTGTTTCAGAGGTGGCTTTATGTGCACGTGCTTTGGGTGTGAGCGCGCAGCAAGAGTCTCTCAGAGAGCACGCGAGAACTGAATTGAGTTCTCTTTCGCTTGCATGGTTTAAAAGGGTGGTTCACTGTTTTTTTTCTAGGCTTGATTGTGTTTATGGGGTGCAGTCTAACACGTGTTAATGCTTCGTTTTTAAAAAAACACATTCTTTTTCACATAATTTGCCTTTATTCCACACTACTCTGTCCCTTCTCTGAGAAATGGGCTGATCTTTTCCTGTTTTTTTGAAGCCCCGCCCTCAGAAATAGGCGATGGGCTCTGATTGGTTAGCTAGCCCAGTGTG